GTAAACCGCTTAGAGAGGGCTGAAAGCCCTATGAAGCGGTATATAAGTCTAACTGCTGTTGCTATTGCTATAGTCCGGGCGACTGAATGGAGCTAGTAGAGAATTTTTTTTTTTTTTACTGGCCGGATGCCCTACCCTGTCACCAATGCAGAGTTTTGTTCAGCAGATAAATTCTCAAGTGTGCCCAGAGAGAGAAATATCTGCCTCTACCTAGGGTTGAACTCACAGCCTCCTTTGTTGTGTGAGGCTGTACGAGCTCCAACGATGGCCGCGTGGCGACGGAGGGATTCTAACGCTGAGGTCTTTCCGTTTCAGAGCAGAAGAGCGACCGGTGAAGAAGAGGAAAGTTCAGAGCTGCAGTTTCCAGAAGAAGAAGTTGAAGCTGATGGAGGCCATGCTGGAAGAGCAGAAGAAGCTGAGCCGAGCGATGGAGGAAACGTGTCGGGAAGTCCGAAGGACTTTGGACCAGCAAAACATTATCCAAGTCCAGAGCCTGCAGCTGCAGGAAAGAATGATGAATTTACTGGAGAAAATCATCACCAAAGCCAACGTTTAATTTTCAGCCTGGGGGAAAAAAGGAAGGAAGGAAGGAAGGAAAAAAAAAAAAGGAAGAAAACTTAACCTGTTTTGATAGAAATGGCTTATTTCATATGCCTAGGATAGTTTCTTCCTTCCAGGTAAATCGAAACGGGAAAGAAACAGCTTGACCTCCTTGCAGGATAATTCTTCAGCAAATAAAATTTGGGCTTGATAATAGGAGTTAATTTGGGGGGGAACGTAGTGGGCGAAGCCACATTGGTGAATCCAACCCAAGGTGTTGTGGCCCGCCAGCAGAGTTGGCAGCAGACTCGGACAGTGAGGAGGGTTGGGTAGGAACCTGGACCAGTCCTAGAGTCTGGGGAAGGCTCTGAGGAGGGCTCTGTGTCGGAGGCAGAGAGGGGGGCCAGGGCCTTATGCCAGTTATCGGCTGCCTTCAGAGTCAGACATCAGTGAGGCAGAAGAACAGCTGGAGCCTGTTCCCAGTGTGTGCATGTGCAGAGCTGCCAGACGAAGGGAACAGCTAAAGAACAGGGGTCAAGTAAGGAAGGAAGGCCACAGGTGGACGGTGAATGGCCCCTCCCAGAGGAAATAAAAGAGGGGTGAAAGGGGAGTGGAGTTTGCAGGAGAGACAATTAGTTCGCTTCATTGG